TGGGGGCGATATGCTGACTTTGTAAACCGCTTAGAGAGGGCTGAAAGCCCTATGAAGCGGTATATAAGTCTAACTGCTATTGCTATTGCTATTGCCTTCAAGGAAAGCCTCGGGAGAAGAGGAGTGCTTTGCACAGGCTCAGAGATATTTTGATGCCAGTAAAGAGCACTCTGCAGAGGCTCAGAGACCCTGTGACTCCAAGGAAAGCCTCAGGAGAAGAGAAGCACTTTGCAGAGGCTCAGAGACCCCATGCCTTCAAGGAAAGCCTTGGGAGAAGGAGCGCTCTGCACAGGCTCAGAGATCCCCTGCTGCCAGTAAACAGCACTCTGCAGAGGCTCAGACACCCTGTGACTCCAAGGAAAACCTTGGGAGAAGGGAAGCCCTCTGTAGAGACTCAGGGATATTTTGCTGCCAGTAAAGAGCCCTCTGCACAGGCTCAGATACCCTGTGCCTAGACGCAGCCCTTCAAGAGAAGCCCTCTGCACAGGCTCAGAGACCTGGGCGGAGAGGCGCGCTCTGCCTATGCCCAGAGGCTCTTCCCGGCCATCTCCCTCTCCTTCCAGCGGGGGCGCTCTGCGGATGCTCAGAGGCCGCCTCTCCGCCGCCAGGGGACCCCTTTCGCCCACGGGACGCTCCGAGCCCGCAAAAAGAACCGCGGGAGGAGGAGGAGGAGGAGCCGCCAACGCCCCGCCCGGGACCGCCCCAGAAGAAGCAGAAGCAGCGGCGGCGGAAGAAGAAGAGGCGGAAGGCCGGGCGAGTAGGCCGCGCCGACGCCGGGGACTCGCGTAGCCGCCGACGCCGACAGAGTGGGGGCCATGAGCTAGCGCGGCCGCCCCGATGTGGCTGCAGCAGCGGCTGAAGGGCCTGCCGGGGCTGCTGTCCAGCAGCTGGGCGCGTCGGCTGCTGGCCCTGCTGGCCTTCCTGCTAGTCGCCTCCTGGTACCTGGGCGGCGCCTGGCCTCGCCTGCTGCTCCGCCTGCGGCCCGGGGGAGCCTCGGGGGCCGCCGCGGGGCTGTGCCTGCAGGCCGAGACCCGCGCCTGGCGGAAGGGAGACGCTCGGCTGCTGGGGGAAGGCCCTGGCCAGACTCCCCCAGGGCTGGTGGGCAACGGGCACCTGCTGCTGGATGCCCAGGCCAACCGCCTCTGGGTGGCCCCTATGGGGGGACCGGCTTGGCCCACCGACTACGGGCCCTTGGCCCAGCTGCGGGGCCCGGCTGGGGCTGAGAGCGAGGCAGGGGCGTCCGCCCTGCTGCCCAAGGAAGGGGCCTTCCGGAGAGTCCGCTGCATCCAGCCTGGGGGTCCCGGAGGGGCTTGTGTGACCGTCCGGGAGGAGCTGCTGGCCCACCGGGGACGCCCCCATCTCTATTTGCAGCGCCTGAGCGTGGACAACCCCACCGACCGGCTGGTGGCTTTGGAAGTGACCGGTCCGTCTTCCTCGTCCTCTTCCTCGTCCTCCTCCGGCCGTTCTTTCGTCACCAGCCTGGAGAAAGCGGGCGACCGGCAGTTCTTCCTGTCCTCGGGCCGGGCGCTGCAGCCGGCCGGAGAGAAGTTGGTGCTGGTTGTGGTGGCGGCCAAGAAGCTGGTCAGCCGGGTGCAGGTGGCGCCGAAGTCGCGCTTCGAGGAGACGCTGGTGTCCGTGGTGCTCAGCTCGGAGCCCATCGAGGCCGCCCAGCTGGACGAGACCTTCGGGCGGCTGCGGGAAGCGGCCAAGAAGGAGATGATGGAGGTGCTGCCCCTGCGGACCGAGGAGCTGGTCCAGGAACACCGACGGGCGTGGGACCAGCTGTTTATCTCAGGTGCGGGGCTTGGACTCTGCGAGTGAGCGACCAGCCACAGGGCAGCCTCGGTGTTGGGCACTGCCAGCTTCGGATTTGGACGGTGCCGTTGAGTGAGGTGTTCTGAGAAATGTGCCTTTTGGTGCTTGGTACCAACCAGGTGCCACAAAGGTGGCAGTTTCAGAGCAAGATAAGTTTTCCTCTGGCACAGGGATCTCCAACCTTGGCTGCTTTTAAGACTTGTGGACCTTCAACTCGCAGTATTCTTTAGCCAGCTCCAATCTCCGCAAGTCTTAAAAGTGGCCAAAGTTGGAGACCTCTGCTCCAGTGGTCCTACAAGCTTGCTTGGGGCTGTAGAGAGGGCTGAAATCTACCCCAAAACCTGTAATTGTCTGAAATCAAATTAGAATAGAGCTGGAGAATTGAGCTCAAGTAAGAAGACCAGGTCATGGTTGTCCCAAAAGGGTTTTTTTTTTCTTCAAAAGGCAATTGGACTTTCTTGGTTTTTCTTGAAAACGTTTCGCTTCTCATCCAAGAAGCTTCTTCAATTCTGAAGAAGGAGCGAAGAAGCTTCTTGCGTGAGAAGCTAAACATTTTCAAGGAGAAAAGAAAAGTCCAGTTTGCCTTTTGAAAAAGCACCTCTGGGACTTAGAGCCGAGGTGGCGCAGTGGTTAGAGTGCAGCACTGCAGGCTACTTCAGCTGACTGCAGTTCTGCAGTTCGGCTGTTCAAATCTCACCGGCTNTCAACCCATGGAACAGAAGTTGCCTTCGGAAGTTGTGGGAGCTTCATCCCTGGAGGCTTTCAAGAAGAGACTGGACTGCCACCTGTCAGAAATGGCGTAGGGTTAGGGGGTGGGGGTGGTTGGACTAGATGACCTGCAAGGTCCCTTCCAACTCTGTTAATTCTGTAATCTCTATATTTCCTTCCCACTTCAATTGCCCTGTAGTAGGAGAGCATCCATGATTCTTTGCGACGTAGGTCAAAAAAAGAGCTAGAAACCCCAGAATAGTTCGACAGATGCACTGTTGGTTACAGTGCTGCATTCTCTGTTCCCAGCAGAAGCCTGGATCAAAGGGGCTTTTTCCCTGCTCAACTCTTGCCCCAAATCTGGGCCGCTGGCTGGACCATGTCGGGGACAGAAAGCCTGCGTTACCTTACTCCCTCGTCTTCCTGCAAGGCGAAGGCAGATCCGAGCAAAGAGGGAAGCGAAAGCAGGAGTCCAGATTTGCTTCACTCCCGTAACAGGTTCCTTTCTTGCAGGTGAGTGTTTTTGCTTTTAAGATGGAGAAGCTGGCAGCCAAGCTTCTTTTATATTTTCAATCACGCCGGACCATTTAGGGGAAAACGGTTTGCAGAATCCTAAAGCAAAGTTTATTTTCTTCTAAGATTCCACCCGTGGAAGCAACATTTGAATAGCCTCCGACCAGCCATGTTTAATCATCTGTGGGGTTTTTTTTTTAATCATGATTTGGGGGGCAAGTTGGAATTTTGCTCTACTTCAGGGTCAAGAAAAGCATCTTCGGTTTAAATGACATGTGTTCTCAAGTCGCTGTCTGCCCAAGAAGAGGTGGGCTTCCCTCTTCGGATGGGGTCCTTAATTGGGACCAAGATTCAAACAAGCCTAATTGAACAATTCATTTGTCCATCCACTGGGGGAAAAAAAGCAGCAAAAATTAACGATGGATTCTGACAAAGCAGATGGACTTTAAGAAGGGAAGCGTATAAACGTATCTCAACTAGCCAGTTTTTTAAAAAATTACAATTTTTTTTTAAGCAGTTGGTAAGAAGTCTGTTTTGGGTTGGCCTGAACTAATAAAAAGAACTGTCTACATTTTTTTTTTAGTTTGGAGGTTTTGCTGCCATTAAATTCACCATTCAATGATTTTTTTTTCTAGCTACTAATCCATCTAATCTTATTTTCACCACCTTTCAGGAAGCTGGCTTCTATCTTTCTTTCAAACTCAAGCTGTTTTCTAACCTCCATCGTGGCGCAAGTTCCAAACTGAAAGGCTGCTAATTCAGAATATCTCCCTCTCTGCCTCCCCTCTCTCCATTGATATCTATATCTGTTTAAGAGAGAGAGAGAGATAATAGAGAGAGAGATAATAGAGAGATGATATATCAATATCGATGTGGAGATAGATAGATAGATAGATAGATAGATAGATAGATAGATAGATAGATAGATAGATAGATAGATGATAGATAGATAAGAGAGAGAGAGATGATATATCAATATTGATGTGGATAGAGATAGATATAGGTAGATAGATAGATAGATAGATAGATAGATAGATAGATAGATAGATAGATAGATANTCACTGCAGCGATTAAGTTGGCAACACATGTCGTTAAGTGAATCTGGCTTTTGACTTCGCTTATCCGGAGGTCGCCAAAGGAGATCGTGTGACACCTTCCCCAACACACACACACACACACACACACACACACACGGGACCCTGCAACCGTCATAAACATGAGCCAGTTCCCAAGGACCTTCCGTTTGATCAAGGGACCCACAGGAAGGCTGCAATCATCTTGAAGGTGGAAAATGGCCACATTTCACTTTTTTTCAGCGCCGTTCTTAACTCTGAACGGCCGCTAAACAAATTTGTTGTAAGGCGAGGACCTAACTGGTACAGGTCATGGGAAGGTTTCTCACTCCTTGGAGAAGGTAGGGAAAGTCCTTGCTAGGTAACTAGTGTGAGAATTTAATGGTGGACCTTTTATTATCGTATTATCCAAAACTTAATGGGACTCAGTGGCCAAGATGCTTATCAATCAGAAAGATTGGCAGTTTGGTGGTTCTAATCTCTAGCACTGCATAACGGAGTAAGCTCCCAGCTTCTGCCAACCTAGCAGTTTGAAAGCAGGTAAAAAATGCAAGTAGAATAATAGGGACCACCTTTGGTGAGAAGGTCACAGCGTTCTGTACGCCTTTGGCGTTGAGTCATGCCGGCCACATGGCCACGGAGATGTCTTCGGACAGCGCTGGCTCTTCGGCTTTGAAACGGAGATGAGCTATGCCCCCTAGAGTCGGGAACAACTAGCACAGATGTGTGAGGGGAATCTTTACCTTTAGCCCAGTGTTTCTCAACCTTGGTGACTTTAAGTCCCGTGGACTTCAACTTCCAGAATCCCCCAGCCAGCTGTGCTGGCTGGGGGATTCTGGGAGTTGAAGTCCACGGGACTTAAAGTCGTCAAGGTTGAGAAACACTGCTTT